ATGTCAATAACATTGTTTGTGACTTACATCTTTTTATGTTGGTTTCTGATGATTCAATGTCAATATATGCAAATGTTTTCTCAGGAAACCCTGAAATTGTGAACAAAAATCATTAGTAATATTGAATTGTTTCTTTTTGCTTATATTTTTTCCCTGTAACAACTTTTATTTACCTTCTTTCTTGTGAACTTTGTGTAGATCAACAGATAACACAGTACCAAACGTTTTGAATCTCTCTCTAGAGAAAGTAAACCCAAGATATTAATTTTGAACACCAATCAGAGTGTAAAACTGTCTTTTTTGAACATAGTGCATTTGCACAARAGTGTAATAAGAATCCTTTGGAGGCTGTTTTAATGCACAAGAAACAAACCATTTTAAATCTGCTTTTAGAGGTGTTTTTCCTTTCGTAGATAGTGGAAAAATTCCTATGCTCGCAGGGTAGCTTTTTGATTGCTCCGCTAGAACAGAACCTCTTTGCTAGGTTAGGTTTCATTTTATTGTTTTGAAGAATATCTATTGTTTATTAACATTATTCTAAACCAATCACAAGATCCGCTGCAATTGCTACATGATGACCCATTTACATGACACCCAACAGAGCAAATCGTTATGCATCAGTCATTTGAAACATATGACCCTCAACCTTGCTGGAAAACTCAGGGAATTTCAATAATTAAAGAAACATTTCAGCAATCTTAAACTCACTGTTCTCAAAAAGCAAAAAGGGTGGCCAAACAGATCATTTCCTTAGATGTTATAATTTCTATGTCTTCCCATGGATTGATATTGTTAATAARACAGTGTTTCAAAAATACCCTGGTTCTTCTTGCAAAATATCAGGGTGGCCAGGGTTTCAATTCACTGAAGTATTATAAAGCTCTGACTAGAATGCTTTCTATTAATTGAAGGCATATAAGCTTATAAAACTACCTGATATCTTGTTCACTGGTCCCGGAGTTAAGACCTCCAATGAATAACCTCTTGTTTTGAAGCAAGGACGCCATTTTARTTTCAATTTCAAAGGTACAGCTGCTGGGAAATATTGATAAGCTTAATCTTCCTCTTTTTAGGCGACAGTCTTATGAACTAGCACTCGCGTTTACTACATGTGTACCATTGGTTTAGCCCACGTGGGATCAACTATTAAATGAAGTTTGCTTTCATAGTTTGCCAATAAGACTCCGAAATTTCATAATTATATACGTACCTTGTTCAATTCAATACAATATTTCAATAATCTAATCCAGCTACCGTTGAATCAAACGTGTTAAAAAGCCAGTGAAATAAAAAATGTTTTTTTCCCTCTTGGCCGCCATGTTTTTTTGCCCAGTCTTTCTCGGACAAAAACGACGAGTTGAGTTGCAAAGCACTTCGGGTAGATCCTCAAAAATATCTTGAAGCATGAAGCGTCTGGATTTCTTCGGATTTTTATTTAACTTTATCTGATTTTTTTTTAATTTGTCTGATTTGTCTCCACAAGCGGACACTCTTTCACAAGAGTATCCGCTGACGGGAGATTCGATACATTTTGTTGTACAGTATTAAATCTACTACCTATAGAGTACTACGGAAAACCCTTTTGACCCCTTTTGATGTCAACTGACTATGCGAGAAAACAATTAAATCATGTTAAATCAATATAGCGACACTACGATGTGAGTTCACAGAATATCGGGCACAGGGCAATGATTTAAGAAGCGAATTCTTTCTACGTGTCGGCATTGCGCTTTGCATGAACGAAATCTCATGCATGAATTAGCTGGTCTAAATGACAATGTAGAACCATGGATGTGCTTTCCAAATCAACGAAGATTGCATCAATTACATCACCAACGATATTAAAGGTCATATAAAGAAAAAAC